ATAACTTCCCACTTTTTCCCCATATACTTGAAACATTGCCACATTGCTCCCTTCCACCTACATATCCCTTTTTTTCAAAAATCCATAAATGCAATGAAAATTTCCCCCTATTTATCTAAATACGTTCCCATAATGCTTAATGTAAACACTTGACACAATCCCCTACCCACCAAACCTCCTTGCCATCTGTAATCCTACCTTCGTTTTACCTCTAATTCTTTAAAAATAAAACCCACCACACACTTTACCTGGCTGTTACGATGTATCAATTTTTTTTTTTTTTTTTTATCTTTAATACTACCTCCACTGCTTGGGTAATAGCTAAATTGAAGCCGCGGATCGTCGTAGAATTATTGTATTCACCTTCATCATTCTGATAGGGTTTTAATTGGGAAATCAACCTAGTTCAGAGATGTGTTTTAAAGTGCACATAATTTGGCGGCTTTTGGTCCCCCCGAGGTTATTTACAAATTCCCGAGGTTTTTTCCCAGCAGTCACCCCCGGGAAAGCTCTGAGACAGGTCTACTCTACATAAACTCTGCCTCGCCAAACCCTGTTTTTTGGAGAAGCCGCCAACTCTTTGTTTCAAAGATTGGCTTACGTGTTTGCATATACTCTAAAAACATAATACATCATACATACATACATCATATATATTATTTTAAATATATATTTTATATATATATATATATATATATATAAATAAATTTCCTAGGCAAGGACATCCCGGGGAATTTAAAAGTTTTTTTCAGATATTGAGAAAGTAGTACCCCACCTAGTGTGAGGAATTGTATATAGTGATTTCTATTGAAAACAGAGATTATAATTTTCCCAATATTTAAGCATTGGAACGCTTATGATTTAACGGGCCCAAATATTTAAAAGTGAAGTACTTTTTATTCTTATATTCTAGATGAAGTATGTTTTTTAAAACTAACATAAATGATGCCTTTGTCTTGATTCACCCCTAGTTTTTGAAGATTGAAAAAAGAGATATCAAGGAAAAATTTTAAAACCCTTAAAACGTCCAAACAAATCGATGTTCAAATTCCCCGATCTACAAAAGAATCTATTTTTTTTACATATTTTCAAATTTTATAACAAAAAAAAAAAGTATAAAAAGTTTTTTTACACTTTTTCAAATGTAAAACAAAAAAGAAAGATCACATTTTTTTCATACTTTCAATGTTGAAAAACGTAATAACGTTTGGCTTTTAAGGGTTAATAGTATTACAAAAAAAGGAGACCCCTCCCTTGTTGAGGAGAAAGCAATGAAACCCCCGGGATAAAAACAATTTTTAAAACCCTTTGAGGGTCGACGGGGCCCTCCCCGAAACCGTTCTCAGGGTCGAAAAATTTTCAAAAAAAAAAAAAAAAAAAAAAAAAAAAAAAAAAAAATTTTTTTTTGAAAAAAAAAAATTTTTTTTTTCTAAAACATTATAGGAAAAACAAAATTTTTCCCCAAATACTTCGATATATGGAGGGGTTAAGTTTCCAAAATTGAAAAAACACTGGTAACATCGCCGCTCCCGTCCCCCCTTTTTTTTTCTTTTTACTTTTTTATGTCTTTTTTAAATTTTTTTTCAATTTTTCTTTTTCTGAGTAACTTTTATGGCCTCTGAGGCCAACATGATATTTTTGTAAGTTATTTCTTTTTAAATACTACACAAAAGGGCAAAAACACTTGTCATTTTTTTGTTTATAAATTAAATTAAATTAATCCATGTTAAGCCTAAACCCAAGTGAGTCTTCAGCGAAAGACGTGTTGGAGGCTCGTCCTCCACTGGTGAGCGCCAACAGACGCGTTTCCCTATTTGAACCCCCTAGATGTTCTATTTGTTTATAGAAAATTTTTAAAAACAAAAAAAACGAATAAAAATGTTGTTTATTACTATTTTTCTATTTTTTATTACACATATCATCCAGGGAATTTTTCTGAATTCTGAAGTGGGAAGTCTTTGAAACATGGTTCATGCACATGGGTTTTTACCTCCTCACACAAAAACGGGGTTCTCTGCGTTGTTGTGGGCGTTTTTTTGTATGTGCACAGACAACCCCCTCTTCTGACCCTTTTTTTCTTGAAAGCAGTAGCAAGCAGTTTTCCCAGGATGATCACCAGCTCCACGACGGTAGTTGTTAAAATTTGGGGGCGGTCAATTGCAGGTGCTTTTCCTTTGGGTCTTGAATACTATTTGTCTGATGACAGACAAAAAAAATTTTGGGCCGACGTGGTTTGTTTCTGGTCCCACTTATACATTTTAAAAGCATTGAGCGGGAAAATGTCCAAAGTGGAAAAACAGTTTGAGTACCATTATAACTTTGAAAAACCAATAGCAAACCCAAAACTGCATGTCACATTTGTCCACGAAGCGTTAAAGGTGTAATCAATCACAGTTTGCGGGTTTTAAAATGGGTTCATTGTTTCCCCTATCTGCCGCCACTGTCTCCCTTTCATTAGGGGAACGATGACAACAGTGTGACATTTGTTTGTCGTGCCCGAAATGCCATGTTCATTGGCGCAAAGCCTGCACCTCACTCTACGAGTGCCGGTCAAACCCGGGGATTGTTTCTGATTTGCACACACTGTGCCACACACATCTTCATGTTCACTCGCAAAAAATCCTGAGTGAGGGGCTTTGTACCAGTTATTTTATATAATAAAGCCCCCTTCCAAGTTGTTTTTATCATTGTTTTAACCCCATCACCTGAGATCCCCAAAAACTTTCCCGGTATTTTGCAATGTATAACTTCCCGTGTACCAATAAAATCCAATACCAGCCATGTAACAACACAAGCACAAACAAATTTTTACCAAACGTTTCCCCCTTTCTTGGGTTTTACTGCTCGAAAGAGAGTTTCCTTTGAAAAAGAATCAAAGACTCGTCAAATTACAACTTCCTGAAGGGATAAAAAAGTGTACAATTTCTTTTCGATACACAAACACATTCCTAAACTTATATAACCTGTCAGTTCTGTAGGCCCCGGTTTTTTCTGAGAAGTGAAGCATACTAACATTACACAAAACGATTACGGATTATATCCGAAAATGGGGTTGCAAACAGGTTGTTGCCAGTATGATTTTACCTTTTGTGCTTATAACATGTGGGATAAGCTTATTGTGGCAAAAAAAAGATACATCTCAGCCACATTGCCCCTTCCATGATGTAGACGTGATTTGGTTAAAGTAAATGTGTTTGCCTGGTGTATCTAGTAGTGTTTCTTTTCCCTGCAAACTTTCCCTGGGTTTGTAAAGAAATAACTTGAAACATTCCAGTTCGTGGCATTTTCCCAAATGTACAAGATGGCCGATTTCCCCTTTGGCTGTCATCAAAATGGTGGGCCTTTGGGAAAAAAATTGCAGCTTCCGCCAATCCCAGGGGGCGGTCTGTGGTGGGTATGGGCGATACATGGTTTTGGGTTTTGGGGTTTTTGGGTTTTGGGGGGTGGTGGGGGTGGGGGGGGGGATGGTGGCCTTTGTTTTAATCAGCTGAGGCGCGGCGTGGGGGGCAGCATGGCCCACGCTGGGCCCAACCCCCGGGCACCACTACCCCCATGCACATTTTCCATCCCCAATTGCAACATATCTCGTCATTTTCACTCTCTGTTCCCCGTTGTACAGCCCGGGATGTACTCCCAGATGCACTTTCCTTCCCCTTGGATAGCATATGGCACACTACCAGACGCATATATCTCGTATATACTGACCTTCACTGGGGAAAAATTTTCACTTCACTTCACTATGGAACATTTGAAAGCTTGTTTTCATATTCACTATCAATCATCACCCAGCTCCATCTGAGTCTGGATTTGGGAAAAAAGAAGTTTCCCTTGGATTCTGGGACAAGAACTGAACAAGAGGCCAGCACCAAGGGGGAAGGCTGGGTCGTCTGGGTTTTCCTCACTATTTCCGATATTATGGTCATTAGTTTTTGGTCAAAACCTCACCAAAAAACCCTTTAAACCCTCTTCACTGGGACTTTCCTTTTTTATAGAATGTCACTGGGGAAACAAAAATGTCCCAATTTGCCGAGGAGTGAGGGGCTTTTACCCGAGGCATGGTGGATATTTTTTACAAGAGGCCCCCACAATCAAAACCCCTGGGTCCCAGATTTTTTTTTACCCCACACCCACCACACACACCCATTCCCACAGACCCCCCTTTTTCCCCAAACTGACGGCGCAGTTTTCGACTAAACGCAAAACCCCTGCGCGTAAGGGACTACAATACTTGCCCCCCAAAGGTTTAAAACGCCCTTTCGAAAAAACGGATACTCAAAACTTTTTCCCCCATAATTTTTACACTCTTTTTGTCCCCTTTTTATTAAAGGAAAGAGGGGGAAAAATTTGGTATTTTTTTTTATAATTTTAAAAAAAATAAAATAAAAAAAATTCCCCCCCTTTTTAAATTTTTTGTCATGTCCGTATTTCCACTTTTACCTCCCTTTCTTCTTGTAATGCCTCATGACCTTCCCCACACTCCATTCCTCTTTCTTCTCTTTTTTGATGTTTTAAAAACCCCCCGGCCAGTGCACGAAATTACTGCCTCCCTTTCTTTACTGACATTTTAAAAATTCCTCAAAATATTCCCCCCATCTATCAATACCCCCCCTTAATTTTATGATAAATTTTCACCCTTTAGAATGGAGCATATTGCTTAAAACCCAAAAATTTCTGTAAAAACAATGGATGGCAGGTTTAGGGGGGCATCCGGAAGGGCTGCAGGAAGTGAGGGAGATCAGTTTTTTTGGGGTTCAATGGCTGTTATGTGAGGAAAAATTAAAAATTTTGAAAGATTCTGGGAAACGGTTTGCTGGGGTCGAAGGCAGGTCTGCACGTGAAAGGGTTGGGGTGGGGATTTGCAGTTGGTGGGTCATTTAACTTATTAAATCCATACCTTTTTGAAAAACAGGGGAGGGAAGGGGAAAGGGAACCTTTCCCAACGGAAAAGCAATCAATAAATATAGGACAACGGCATGTTGGTTTTCTTTACAACAACTTACCTTTACCATGAAATTGAAACCCCCCCAAGTTCCATATTGCCTTCCAGCCCTTCCTCCTCATAACCATGTGCGCAGGGAAAAACCGCAACATGCACAAACTCAAAAAGACGCACCAACTTATTAAAATCAGCAATGCAAGATGATACAAGCCTCATAGACGGCTACATACATTCTTTTTCAGAAGAACAGGTTACCAAACGGCTTGTTCAAAAATTTTAAAAATTATTTACAAAGGGACAAAGCCCCAACATTTCACAAAAAATTTTTTGAACTTCTATTCCCTAATGCAAAGTAGAAAAGTAATAGGTATTGTTTAGTATTTTGTAGAAAAAATTATAGAAGCTTTAAGTGAATGATTCTATTAGTTAAAAACTACAGTAATATAATTTTAGTGGTTCACACAACCAGATGCTCAAATATGGGAAAAAAACCAAAATGCTTAGAGAAAAACACCGAAATTCACTGAAAACTCAAAAACAAAAAGGGAAGGTGCAAGCAAAAATTTTAATTAAAAAATTTAAAAATTAATTAATCATGTAAATCACAAAGCCTAATTAATACTGTAAATACTGTTTATTTAAGTATTTCAACCAAATACGAAAAAAAAGTAAAAGCCAAGGTCAGTAGCAAAATTAAATTTTTAATGAAGCAAGACATGGGTGGGGAATAACTTTCAAGGTGACAACATTTGGCTGTGTAGAACTTTGTTAAGTCTAGAGAGAGAGAGAGAGAAGAGAGAGGGGAGAGAGAGAGAGAGAGAGAGAGAGAGAGAGAAGAGAGAGAGAGAGAGGAGAGAGAGAGAGAGAGAAGGAGAGAGAGAGAGGAGAGAGAGAGAGAGGAGAGATGAGAGAGAGAGAGAGAGAATAAGGAGAGAGAATAGAGAGAGAGAATAGAGAGAGAGAATAGAGAGAGAGAATAGAGAGAGAGAATAGAGAGAGAGAATAGAGAGAGAGAATAGAGAGAGAGAATAGAGAGAGAGAATAGAGAGAGAGAAAGAGAGAGGAGAGAAGAGAGAAAGAGAGAGAATAGAGAGAGAGAGAATAGAGAAGAGAGAATAGAGAAGAGAGAATAGAGAGAGAATAGAGAGAGAGAATAAGAGAGAGAGAATAGAGAGAGAGAGAATAGAGAGAGAGAGAATAGAGAGAGAGAGAATAGAGAGAGAGAGAATAGAGAGAGAGAGAATAGAGAGAGAGAGAATAGAGAGAGAGAGAATAGAGAGAGAGAATAGAGAGAGAGAATAGAGAGAGAGAATAGAGAGAATAGAGAGAGAATAGAGAGAGAGAATAGAGAGAGAGAATAGAGAGAGAGATATGAGAGAGAGAATACAGAGGATAGAGAGAGAGGAGAGAGAGAGAGAATAGAGAGAGAGATAGAGAGAGAGAATAGAGAGAGAGGAGAGAATAGAGAGAGAGAGAGGATATGAGATAGAGAGAGAGATATAGAGATAGAGAGAGAGATATAGATACAGAGAGAGATATAGAGATACAGAGAGAGATATAGAGATAGAGAGAGATATAGAGATAGAGAGAGATAGATAGATAGATAGATAGAGAGAGAGAGAGAGAGAGAGAGAGAGAGAGAGAGAGAGAGAGAGAGAGAGAGAGAGAGAGAGAGAGAAACACTGTCACAAAGAAAGCTTGTTCTGTACCTATGTCTTTTCTTCTTTACTGTTGTCAGTAACAAACATGAACAGGTATTTGTTTGAGCTATAAAGTTCCATGTCTGGAGTTTCCAATATGGTTTTCAACACTGAAAACTAATGTTAAATAGCCAAAGAGTCATTTATATTGCTCTTGTTTTATTTACTAAGTGATGAAATATATACCATACTCGTACTCTCATGAGATAGACAAAAATAAATATGAAGGCCTAGCTATTCTAAACATTATAATACTTGTACAGTTCTCTCTCTAGTTATGCATATTGTATTTTAAAGTATATTCTTATTTGTATATATGTGAGTGCTTCGTACAAGGTAGTCCATACAACTTCTCCCCCGACCAACCAAGTACAGTGGACCCCCGGATAATGATATTATTTCAATCCAGAAGTCTGTTTGGGTGCCGTTATAGACCGAATTTGTTCCCATAAGAGATATTGTGAATTAGATTAGTCCATTTCAGACCCCCAAAAATACACCTACAAAAGCACTTACAAAAATACACTTACATAATTGGTCGAGTTGGGAGCTGATCGTTATGCGGGGGTCCACTGTATATATGTACATGGATAACATGGTTGACTAATGTAAGGTAGTCCATGCAAACTCTTTCCCAACTACCCATGTATATACTTGGTTGACTGATGCAAGGTAGTCCATGCAAACTCTTCACCAACCACCCATGTACAGTATATACATAAGTGCTTGATGCAAAATAAACCATGCAAAAATCTCCTGTAACACGCCATGTATATATGCACCTTATCTCATTCATTTATACTGTACATTAATTTAATTTTATTATCCAGACATCATCGACTTTTAAATGTTATATACAAGTTGCATAGTAAGAGATTAACACTGCTAAATATGAGTATGTCTTGTTATATGCTCGAATATTCTCTGCAAATGATTGACAAAAGTTCTCTACATTAACTGTGCATTCAATTAAACATCACAATAACAAAACATGAACCACAGAAATTTGAAAATAAAATCTACAAAATGGAGACAGCAACATATTGGGAGAGGAGAAAATGCTTTGATTAGAAAAAATTATTACCTAAGGTTACTTTCTGCATTTACATTAGAGCAAATTTTTCTATATTTTTTTTTTAACACACTGGCCATTTTCTACCGACCCAGGGTAGCCCACAAAAAAGAAGAAACATTCCCACCATCACCGTCTTGACAGAGGGGCCCTGATACTATAGTTCAAAACTGCAACATATCAATACCCCTCCTTCAGAGTGCAGACACTGTACTTCCTACCTCCAGGATTCAAGTCTGGCTAACTGGTTTCCCTGCATCCCTTCATAAAAGGCATATGACAGGAATTTTAAGTGTACTGGCTTTTGTGTACATTATACAACATGCCTAGCTGCCCACCCAGACATATATAAGCATTCTTCCTAGTTTAATGGTCATTACCATGTTGTACAACAATATTTAATAGAAAAATTTATTACACTTTTAAGCGATTATTTAACAGCCTTTTTTCCTTCTAAAATATTAATAATTAACTTACACATATTTAAACATAATATGAACACACCTTAACCCCTTCTCCTCTATAAATTACTAAACAAAAAAAAAAAGAAAAATGAAAGTGTTTCTTTTTAGGTCACCCTGCCTTGGTGGGAGACAGCCTGTGCGTTAAAAAATATCAATACGACTTCTATAGCTACTAATGGGAGCTCAGTGAATCCAAGTCAAAATGTTCACAATTTTTTAAATATTCTATTTATTTTAATCAAAGAAAAACACTAAAACCATATGGGTCATACAGCATCTGGAAATATTATTTTAGGTGTCACAAATATTTGGGGCAGATTGACTAGAGTGAAAACAGGTAAAGAGGTCAAGGTGAAGATTAAGATTGCAGGTCAACAGTGCATAGCAGAAATTTGTGCTTGTATGAGAGCAGGTGTGAGTGAACAGAGGAATGATGAGTAAAATAAGGTAAAAACAATAAAAGGGTGTTAATAGAGAAAAAGCTATTATTTGAATGATTTTTACTATGTTAAAAAGATATACAGAATAAGAAGAGAGATAAAAGAGGCTAAACAAATAGCAAGAGTGTGCAAAAGAAAAAATGAGAGAATGGGTGAGCAATTATCAACAAATTTTGCTGAGATAAAGAAACTGTTTTGGAGATATTAATTAGTTGAGAAAGCCTGAGGAGTTCAGAATGAAACAGCTGAGAGGTAGAAGTACTGAAAATTTTGAGAAAATAGATTGAGGAATTATTAAATGTTTACGATGAGAGAGGCAGTGAGCTCATGCCAAGGGCAAGAAGTAATTGTATCTGTTAGGAGTAGGGAAAAGCCAGAGGCAAATGAAGAGACAGTGGGTGAGGCATTGCATAGGTGAACAATCAGCTGTGACAGATGGGGTGAAGACTGAGATGCTGAAAACAGGTGGGGATATTATTTCGTAATGGTTGGTGTATTTATTAAAAATGTGCATACATGAAAGAAAAGAAGGTACCTAAGAATTGACAAACAAGCATGCATAGTTTCTTTGTGATGTGTGCACATCTCTGGCAAGACAGTCACTGAATGAGTGATGAAGGTGTTTCCATTTTTTGGTCATTCTATCTTGGAGGAAAACAGCCCCATGAAAAAAAAAAAAAAAAAAAAAAAAAAAAAAAAAAAAAAAAAAAAAAAAAGTGCGCGCGCGTATATGGAATTTTGTGGCACGATCAACTGAGAGAACAAGACAATGCCAACTGTAAACAAGAAAAAAGAAAGTAGTGCTGCAATGACACTATTTTTTCACCAATATTGTGGCAAACAGCTAGAATGGCATCCAGGAGTAAGTAGTGATCATTACAAACAACCCCAGGAAAATACACAAATAACCTGCACACAGGAGAAAGAAGCTTATGACGTTTCAGTCTGACTTGGATCATTAACTAGTAACATCAACACAGGAAGGTGAGGGAGCCAGTATATACAGAAGAGGAGGACAGAGACAGGACAAAGAGAGGAAGGAAGGAAGTAGAAAAGTAGTGGTATTGTGCCTTTTTGTTCTTTATAAATTCCAGAACTTAAAAAAAAAAAAAAAAAAAATTGCACGACAAACTAAACAGTGAACAGAGGACACAGTAAAAATAGAACCAATCTTTTGTAATTACACTTTCCTAATTAAAATCACTGAGCTCTACTTAATCTATAGTAATATGCATCTATAAAGTGGTAAAACTAGTTAAAAACAGTTATGTATACATTGTACATGCATCAACTGTAACTTAAGTTAGCAACAGCATGCAGTTCACAAAGTAAAACCTTAACAATAATTAAGCCCATCATGCAAGAACCAACTTGAAAAAATAACTCACCACAAATCCATAGAACTTGCCAACCATGACAACAGCCTCAATAACTGGCCCGTATTGTGAGAAAAGATAGCGTAAATCATCCTTTGTTGCTGCTCCAGCAAGATTACCACAAAAAATCTTGAATGTCTTGTGCACTTCACCAGGCATTCTGAAAAACAAAGATTGCAGTGACCTCAGCAGTGATCTATGATTATCCTTCCATGAGATGATGATAATAACGTTAATAAATGACAATAACAGCAATAAATATTGTACAGTGAATTGATTGCTGAAGTACAATACTGTAACTGAGTATCTTAAAAGAATAAGCAATTTAATTGAATAAACTTTAAAAGCAAAAAACAAACTATTAATACTGTATTATATTAATTTTCATTATGAGCTACAAAATATCTGCACAACATAAAATAATGGACATTTATTACAAATACAGTCAAATCATCCCTATAAATTTACGTGGTTCACTCTTCTAAAGGTTCTGTGAAAACTACAAACAACAAATAATACAAATTAAATGTACAAGAAAATTTTTCTTTCAGATTAGGGTTCAATTTGTTGCAGGGATAATGTCTGTGTAAATGTATCACTCTAGTCTGTTTAACAAACACTGACATTTATAACATATAGTGACCAGAAGAGATTGATTTGGGCAACGGAGAGTTGGTGAGCCAGAAAAACACCAAATAACTGAAACTATTCACTAGTTATTCATCAGCAAAAATGTTGGATAATGGAAATCTGCAAATACATATTTAAGGTTGTGAATCTGTAGGAATGACTGTAAATTCTCAATACATACATGTTCCAATTTATAGTAGTGTTAGATTCATGGGAGCTACTAAACTGACAGTTCCAAATCAAAGAAATCTGAATCAGGCATTGTTATGGTATGTCTTCCTCAGATCAAATGATGTAGTTTTTCAAATAATTGCTGCTACAGTCTAAGAGCACACCAGCACTGTACAGCAACACAGCATCCCAGAAGACACCTGCCAGAGTGAGCTAAGCTAGTCACAATTCTTTATTTTCCAATGTGATTTTTAAATAGTTCCTTTTCCACCCTAGGAAGCCTAGTCTGAGACTAGTCTGAGACTAGGCTGAGACTAGGCTGTGGGAAGATAATCAGCAAGTAACAGATGATGATGCTGACCTAGGACTCTTCTGGAAAACTAACAGTAGAAAAACAACAGTAGAAACAACTAGAAAAAATATTTGATATTCTTCATGTTCGGCTGAACATCTACAGAAATGATGCAAATAAAGGAACTTAATTAAAATGTGGAATAACTTGCTGACGATTTAAAAAAGTTATATAATAAATGAATTTTTAGGTCTAAGTCTAAGCGCTGTGTACTAGCCCTGCTTATAAATTTTGTAGTCTTATACAACTTTAACCTTCATCAAGTATTTTTTTTTTTTAACAAACCAGCCATATTTCACCGAGGAAGGTGACCTAATCAGAAAAACGAAAGTTTCTCTTTTTAAAATTAGTAATGTATGCAGAAGGGGTTACTAACCCCTTGCCCCTGGCATTTTAGTCACCTCTTACGACACACATGGCTTACGGAAAGGAAGAATTCTATTCCACTTCCCCATGGAGATAAGAGGAAATAAACAAGAACAAGACTACCAACCTATTACCTATTTTATCAGGTATTATTATTATTAATTATTATCATCACTTTTTGCTTTTGTTCTGCCTGTAACAGTTTATTACCCTGCTCATTCAATCACTGTTTACCTTTATCACAAGTTATTACATCATCATAAATTATAAATCTTCTCATATATGCCCACTGTTGCCAAAATGAATATAATTTATTCTTTTTATGCTTTTTTTTTTTTTTAATATTAAGTACAGCCTCTCCTCACTTAACAACGGAGTTCCGGTCCTCAGACCATGTCGGTAAATGAATTCATTGCTAAGAAAGCAGCATACAGTGGACCCCCGGTATTTGATGGCATCGGTATCCGATAAATCCGGTATTCGATGCATTTTAACGCAAAAATTTCGCCTCGGTATCTGATCGAAAACCCGGTATTCGATGCGATTCATACGAGACGTGTCCACGTGTGGCCTGAACTACCCCGTTTGTGCCAGTGTTTACAAGCCAGGCAGTGTGCGCGCATCTAAGGATATATTCGGTGCATTACATATTATCACAGTGTTTTTGGTGCTTGTTTCTGCAAAATAAGTCACCGTGGGCCCAAGGAAATGCTTTCTAGTGCCAACCCCGGTGGTAAAAAGGGTGAGAAGTTAGTATGGGAAATTAAGAAAGATTTTGAAAGGGTTGGGGCTCTACTCCCTAACCCTGAGAAGCTATGCCATTTGTGGAATCCTTTGTGAGTACTTCCAAAAATTACAGGAAAATGTGTGCAAAAGTTGGGTTGATAACTGCAAACATTTTTGGATGAAAAATCACCCCTAACACAGCTATTGCCAAGAGCGGTTTGCTGGTGACTATTTACAATGGACCAATGTTCTGGCCCCATTTTAGACACAATCTTTTTAATGGCGAAGGCGGACAGAGGTCCAGTGACTCTCAAGCTAGGTCCTAGTGGCATTAAAAGAAGAAGGGAAGTAACCCCAGATAAGGATTACTACCTCAAGTCCTATTGGAAGAGATTCCCTTCTATAAACTGTAACAGCTTTGACACGTCCCATCACTACCATCCCATCAATCATAACCAGATCTTCATTAAAGGGTGAAGTGTCTAATTATTCTATTGTTATTGTATTATGCTAGCTGCATTTATTAAACTTAATATTTCATATGGTAAAATTTTTTTATTCATATTTTGGGTGTCTTGCACGGATTAATTTGATTTCCATTATTTATTATGGGGAAAAATTGATTCGCTGTCTCGATTTTTTCTCGGTATGCGTTGAGCTCTCTGGAACGGTTATATTAATATCGAAATTGCGGGGCCTCGGTATTATAATGGTAGTGGGTTTTGTCAACCATCTTTAATATTGTTTTAACCCTTTGACTGTTTAAGACGCTATATATACTGGTCTTACTAGCCAATGTTTCTGACCGTATTTTATACGCACAAATTAAGCGGCTTCAAATCTAGCGGGAGGGAGGGGGGAGGGGGAGGGAAAGGCTGGTTAGGCCTAAATGAGGTAGAGAATGCGGTCTAGTTGGTCGGTGTGACCTGTGAAAAAAGAATCTGCTATGACCCCAGCGGTGCATTGGGGAACGCATATTGTAGTTCCTTTTCTCCATTGCCTCTCGGTAAGAAAAGAAAGTTCCTCACTCCTCGGCGGAAAATTGGGAGGTCGTTTTTGTTCCCAAATGTGATAGCTCTAACAGCGATATGAAATTGTTGATTGTGATGTTTTGTATATGAAAAAGTCTGTGACAGTGAATTCCGGGGTTTTGAGTGAGTGTACCGGAAAAAAGAAAAAAAAAAAAAAAAAATAAAAAAAAAAAAAAAAAAAAAAGTTCCCAGTATAACGTTAATTAGTGATGGTGAAATCCCGATGACCCAACCTTCCACCTGGGTGCTGGGCCCGGCTTTGTTTCACGTTCAACGTTCGCCTGTACCAGGACGATAGTAGGGAAATATTTGGTCGTGTACAACACCCAGATGATAGCAGCTGACTGTGATAGTGACAGTGATTTCAAGGTCATTGAAAGCTGGTTCTAGTGACAGTGAGGGTGAAATTCCCCAGTCGTGAAGTTTGGCCCAGTAGGTACGACGGTGCATATGTATGGTTAGTGTTTCATATTGTTGTTCCAAGGGGAAGGAGAGAAACTCTGGGAGAGCACATCCATGGCCCTACACCACGACCTGATTGTTGAAGTGAGATATTGCCACTCCCATAACCGCACAACCACCAACCTGCACAACCACTAACCACGGTTACAATATCCAGACCCCTCCAGCAGACCGCATCTGGGATTGGACCAGGACGGGTGTCGAGGTTTGTTCCCAGTTCCCCAGGACTTTGATTGAAAACACAAAGTGGAATAATAAAGCATCATGTCTCCACTTGGGAACAATGCCTGTGAAACTGGCTGCTTTGTGTTATTCATGCGAGTACCCCTGATGGACAACATTGTCAGGGGAAGACAAAAAAATGTACTGTGTTTACACCTGGCAAACACAATACTTTCACCAAAATCAGCTACACCAATGGAAGGAGGCAAGGGGTGAGATGTTTTTTTCTTTCCCAAATAATGCTTACCCAATGTGTAAAAGCAAAAAGTGAATCTAGGGTCAACGCCCCCCTGATTGCAACACCATTTTTCAGTGATATAATGCCGGGAAATCGATTGTGCTAAGTTACGTATGCTTCACTTCTCAGATAAAACCAGGCCTGACAAACTGACAGGTTATTAAGTTGGAATGTGTTTGTGTTTTGAAAACAGAAATTAGTATCTTTTTATCCTTCAGGAAGCTTTAATTGACGAGTCTTTGATTCTGTTCAAAGGAACCCCTTTTTCAGCGTACTCCCAAGCAAGAGGAACGCTTTGGTAAAAGTTGTTTGTGCTTTGTGATGTACATGGTCTGGTATTGATATTATTGTGTACAGGAAGTTATACATTCAAAATACCAGGAAGTTATTGGCATCTGGTGATGGGGTTCGAAAATGATAGAACCATCTTGGAAAAGGGGCATATATTATATACAGATAACTGGTACACAAGCCCCTCACTCAGGATTTTTTGCGAGTGAACATGACAGATGTGTGTGCTTACGTTGCAAATCGAAAACTATGCCCAGTTTGATGCTGGCATCCGGGGTGAGGTGCAGGCAGTTTGCTGCCAATGACTTGGCATTTCGGTGTGTAAACGAGATGTCACACTTTATCAATTCCCAAAGGAAATGGCGACTGAAAGTGGCAAGCATAAGAGAAGAAATGAACTTCAACCTGCAGCTGTGATTGTTACACCTTCAACATGCGTTCAGTGGACAAATTCTGCAGATTGGGTTTGCTGATTTGTTTCCCAAGATTATAAGTGGTACATCAAACTTTTTTCCATCTTCGGACATTTCCATGCTCAATGCTTTAATATGTATAATGCACAGAAACAAACCACAGTACGGAATTCATGTTTGTTCATTAACAATTAGTATTCAATACCAGGAAATGCACCTTTGACACCCACCCAATTTTATCAATACCTTGTCTGAAGCATGTGTCATTCGGATAAAACCTCCGTACTCCCTAAGAAAGGGCTTCAAAGGTATTGGCATCCAGTGCAAAAAAAACACCCCCACACAACCAGAGACAGTTTTTGTGAGGAGTCAAAACTGCTTGCATGTTACAATTTTTAAAGAGCCCCACAGGCAAGAACTTTTTTATGTCCTGTGACTGCAGGTGTTTAAAGATACAGAAAAGACCTAGTAATGAAACATTTCATATAATTGTTTTAATTAAAATTTTTGTTATTAAAGGACAGAACATGTTTCCCCTTATGTAGTATTGAAAATGCAATAACTTACCAAATTTGTCATGTTGGCCTCAGAGGCCTAAAGTCCAGAAAAGGAACATTGAAAAAATCTTAAAATTTACATCAATAGTATATATTTACCGGTGGGCCAGTCGGCGATGTACGATATGTTGGTCAAATTTTGGCAAATTTACACCTCAAATTTCTTGTGATAATCCGGATTTAAAATTTTTGTATTAGCCTATTCTTTTGAAAAATTATGTTTTCATAAGAAAAAATCATTTTTTTTTTATTTGCCTGACCTGAAACGAGTTTAGAAGCCTTCGACCTTGACACTTAAAGGTTTATGCTCAAACAACAACTGTATTATTTCGGTCAACATACATATGCCAGCAGAAATTTTCAACAATGAAACTGAACAAGGCAAAGCTTAGATCTGTGATAACCCATGACCACCTTAGCACTGTACTCAACACTGCAACAATAGAAGCAAAACTGGACTTCAACAGTTAGGTTAAAGAACATCAGTGTTGTTATTCTTCCCACTGAAAGCTTCCATCATTCTCATCAACATTTTGTATGATTCATAAAATATGGAAAAAATACCAGACTAAGAAGTTGCTTTTTAGACAGAATTAATTAATTTTTATTTAGCCTATTTATTTTCCGCAACAGGTGTACATCAATGCTTCCATAGAGTGAACTTATTGAATATATGATTTATTAAATAGATTGATTTATTATTCATTAACTTAATTTTGAACAGATAATAGTAGTGAATGGAGACAAATGGTTTTTGGGACCTGACAAGATGTTGGAGTGTGAGCAGGGTAATATTTTGTGAAGGGATTCAAGGAAACTGGTCAGCTGGACTTGAGTCCTGGAGGTGGGAAATACAATGGCTGCACTTTAAAGGAAGGGTTTGGGATACTGGCTGTTTGGAGTGACATCCAAACTGCCGTATCTGGGCGCCTCTGCAAAGACAATGATTATGTATGAGTGACGGTGAAAGTGTTGAATGAGGATGAGTTTTTTCTTTCTTTTTTTGGGTTACCCTGCCTCGGTGGAAAACGGCCAATGTGTTAACCCTTAAACTGTCCAAACGTAGATCTACATTCACGTGTATAACGCTCCGACCTTGATTTTCCCATTTGAAAGCATGTAAAAAGAACAAAAAGTAGATCAACGTTCAGAGCCCCCCGCACGTGGACGTAGATCTACGTTGGGACAGTTTATGGGTTAAAAAAAAAATATTAATTTATCTTAATATTTTCTATTTACAAAAGGAAGACATGCTTTTGAGTTATTATTTATAACTTACAATTTTACAACGAATGTGCATGTGGCCCTCGAAGGTCACAAGCTGAGTTGGTGATGAGGCGTGTTGATCACAACTGTCTCGCCTGCTGTATCAACTGCCACAGCTTAATGGAAAGAATAATTTAAACCATAGGAATCAACTTCACAAATTTCCCTCCTGGTCCCTGGGGTGGACCTCCTGGTCCCTGGGGTGGACCTCCTGGTCCCTGGGGTGGACCTCCTGGTCCCTGGGGTGGACCTCCTGGTCCCTGGGGTGGACCTCCTGGTCCCTGGGGTGGACCTCCTGGTCCCTGGGGTGGACCTCCTGGTCCCTGGGGTGGACCTCCTGGTCCCTGGGGTGGACCTCCTGGTCCCTGGGGTGGACCTCCTGGTCCCTGGGGTGGACCTCCTGGTCCCTGGGGTGGACCTCCTGGTCCCTGGGGTGGACCTCCTGGTCCCTGGGGTGGACCTCCTGGTCCCTGGGGTGGACCTCCTGGTCCCTGGGGTGGACCTCCTGGTCCCTGGGGTGGACCTCTTGGTACTGTGTTGCCTGCATGGCCCTGTAGTGGACTTCTTAGCCTTAGGGGCCCCTGCATGGCCCTAGTGTGGACCTCCTGGCCCCAGCATGGCCACAAGAGGCCAGTGGTGCATGCTGGAGGTCCTGACCTCTTGTCCTCCCTAACCTCTCCCCACCCCATCACCCCACCCCCACCCTACCTCCACCCACCCCCTCACCCTCCCCACAGCATACAGACATGGCCCTAAAGTGGCCCAGCACCCCCGACTTCTGGCCAAAATAAGCGAGGTAATGACAGGTCGCAGGAGGAGGAGGAGGCCAAGTCTCTCTCTCTCTCCCCCCCTCTTCTCACCCCTCCCTCACCTCACCTCACCCCTGAACCTCACTCACCTTCGCCCTCTGCCGGAGTAAACAGTGTAATCCATTGATCCATTCAGTTGTAAATTCAAAAATATGAGCACACGGGCAGTCTGGTCTTGGTCAACATTATCCACAATCAGTAGCAGCGTTATGGAGGGAACCTCTCTATAACCCTCTCCTCTCTCCCTCTCACCCCTCTCAACCCTATTCTTAATCTCTATACACACACCCCATTAGGGTATTTTTTCCAGGCTGATCCGTAATAATTCGGGGATTGGGAGGTTAATTATAAGCTTCAGTTTAGTGGATAAATCTTATACTTGAGATGCTTCCCGTGTGAGGCAATTGTGGAGGTAATGGCTTATATGCCATTAATATGCCAGTATAACAAGCCTTTCACCAACAAAATACATATATACACTAATGAAAGCCTCCAGAAAATGATTAATTGAGTTCATTTGGCTCCATTAAAGCCACATAATTACACAGGCCAGTGGGTGGCGACATTTAGTAACTCTTACACAACAATAATAACGCCATTTAACAAACTTGTAAATCTTATCTATGAGTTATGATGTAGTGTGGTGGTGGTGAGTGATGTCTTCATCACACCCACCACCACATTGTACCATGGCATCACTTATATACACTTATATAATGCCGGTGTGGCCTTGATAAATGACGCCTCTGGCATCCTTCACCAGCGTACCCACGCACACTCTCCTGACGTCATAGGCCTAAGACTTCACTCTGACGTCAGAGGCCTAGGTTTCACACTGTAACGTCATAGACCTGGGCTTCACACTGCAACGTCATAGACCTGGGCTTCACACTGTAACGTCATAGACCTAGGCTTCACACTGTAACGTTATAGACCTAGGCTTCACACTGTAACGTCATAGACCTAGGCTTAAGAGATAAGATAAGATAAGATTTCGTTCGGATTTTTAACCCCGGAGGATTAGCCACCCAGGATAACCCAAGAAAGTCAGTGCGTCATCGAGGACTGTCTAACTTATTTCCATTGGGGGTCCTTAATCTTGTCCCCCAGGATGCGACCCACACCAGTCGACTAATATATTTGCTGCTAGGTGAACAGGACAACAGGTGTAAGGAAACGTGTCGAAATGTTTCCACCCGCCGGGAATCGAACCCGGGCCCTCCGTGTGTGAAGCGGGAGCTTTAGCCACCAGGCCACCGGGCCACACTGTAACGTCATAGACCTAGGCTTCACATTGTAACGTCATAGACCTAGGCTTCACATTGTAACGTCATAGACCTAGGCTTCACATTGTAACGTCATAGACCTAGGCTTCACACTGTAAACGTCATAGACCTAGGCTTCACATTGTAACGTCATAGACCTAGGCTTCACATTGTAACGTCATAGACTTAGGCTTCACACTGTAACGCTATAGACCTAGGCTTCACACTGTAAACGTCATAGACCTAGGCTTCACATTGTAACGTCATAGATCTAGGCTTCACACTGGTGCCATAGACCTAGGCTTCACATTGTAACATCATAGACCTAGGCTTCACACTGTAACGTCATAGACCTACGCTTCACACTGTAACGTCATAGACCTAGGCTTCACACTGGTGTCATAGATCTAGGCTTCACATTGTAACGTCATAGACCTAGGCTTCACACTGTAACGTCATAGATCTAGGTTTCACACTGGTGTCATAGACCTAGGCTTCACATTGTAACGTCATAGACCTAGGCTTCACACTGTAACGTCATAGATCTAGGCTTCACACTGGTGTCATAGACCTAGGCTTCACACTGATGTCATAGACCTAGGCTTCACATTGTAACGTCATAGACCTAGGCTTCACATTGTAACGTTATAGACCTAGGCTTCACACTGGTGTCATAGATCTAGGCTTCACACTATAACGTCATAGACCTAGGCTTCACATTGTAACTTCATAGACCTAGGCTTCACACTGGTGTCATAGACCTAGGCTTCACACTGTAACGTCATAGACCTAGGCTTCACACTGGTGTCATAGACCTAGGCTTCACACTGTAACGTCATAGACCTAGGCTTCACACTGGTGTCATAGCCCTAGGCTTCACACTGTAACGTCATAGACCTAGGCTTCACACTGGTGTTATAGACCTAGGCTTCACACTGGTGTTATAGACCTAGGCTTCACATTGGTGTTATAGACCTAGGCTTCACACTGGTGTCATATACCTAAGCTTCATACTGGTGTTATAGACCTAAGCTTCACACTGGTGTCATAGACCTAGGCTTCACACCCGTGTCATATACCTAAGCTTCACACCCGTGTCATAGACCTAAGCTTCATACTGGTGTTATAGACCTAAGCTTCACACTGGTGTCATAGACCTAGGCTTCACACCCGTGTCATATACCTAAGCTTCACACCCGTGTCATAGACCTAAGCTTCATACTGGTGTTATAGACCTAAGCTTCACACTGGTGTCATAGATCTAAGCTTCACACTGGTGTCATAGACCTAAGCTTCACACCGGTGTCATAGACCTAAGCTTCACACTGGTGTCATAGATCTAAGCTTCACACCGGTGTCATAGACCTAAGTTTCACACCGGTGTCATAGACCTAAGCTTCACACTGGTGTCATAGATCTAAGCTTCACACTGGTGTCATAGACCTAAGTTTCACACTGGTGCCATAGACCTAGGCTTCACACCGGTGTCATAGACCTAAGCTTCACACCGGTGTCATAGACCTAAGCTTCACACTGGTGTTATAGACCTAAGCTTCACACTGGTGTCATAGATCTAAGCTTCACACTGGTGTCATAGACCTAAGCTTCACACTGGTGTTATAGACCTAAGCTTCACACCGGCGTCATAGACCTAAGCTTCACACTGGTGTCATAGACCTAAGCTTCACACCAGCGTCATAGACCTAAGCTTCACACTGGCGTCATAGACCTAAGCTTCACACCGGCGTGTTTCTGCAGTAAACACAGCCTAAGTCAGCAGTTACTGGAGCCAACAAGACTGGAGAACAAACTTGACCTTATTTTCACAAATAATGAGGACCTGGTAAGAAACATAACAATATCAAAAACTATGTGTAACATCTGGTTATCTGTATTGCAGACGTTTTGCCATCCAGTGGCTTTATCAGTACAGATTCTAGGACATAATTAGAAGACAGTGGAACCATATACAAAAGATGAGGTAATCAGTCCCACTTTGAAAGAGTTCTCGGAAGCATGATTGCAGATCACTTGGATTCTCAACAATTGCACAATCCAGGGCAACATGGGTTCAGGGCAGGTCACTCCTGTCTCTCACAACTACTGGATCACTATGATATGGTCTTGGATGCACTGGAAAACAAACACAATGCAGATGTAGTATACATAGATTTTGTAAAAGCCTTTGACAAGTGCGATCATGGTGTAATAGCGCACAAAATGTGTGATAAAGGAATAACCGGCAAAGTGGGCAGATGGATCTTCAACTTTCTCACCAATCGCACACAAAGAATAGTGGTAAACAGAATTAAGTTTGAGGTTGTCACAGTGAAAAGCTCTGTCCTGCAAGGCACAGTACTCGCCCCCATCCTGTTCTTCATCCTCATATCAGACATAGACAAAGATGTGAACCACAGCACCGTGTCATCCTTCGCAGACGATACTAGGATCAGCATGAGACTGTCATCCATCCTCAAGATACTCGAAGACCTGAAGAAATGGAAGAGGAAACAATATTTAGACCAAATGAACCCCTCACCTTCTATACATATAACCCTCACACCCCGTCGCTATATGCAACTCTGGTCATCTATTCCATGCACCATGGTAGTATCAAGTACGCTGTTGCTCCTGGATGCGATCCCCACACTGAAACGCTCTAATTGCAGACTTAGAAAAAGACAGCAAAAGTCCGCTCAAACTTAGTTTATTATCAAAACCTGCTTTCAAAAGATTTCAAAATGGCTCTACGACAGGAACGAAAAACTAACAAAACGCAGATATGAAGAGTGTTATCCACCAATCAACGCTGATCCTCTCTACATACTTAACCAATCATATTGAAGCATGCCTCCCTCTCCATCCCGCTTCCCGCCGATCTCCAGCAACCAGTCGCCGACCAGATCTACAGATCAACCACCATGATGCAGCCTGCACAGCTTGCCCACGTCGTCCACATTCTCAGCCAAGTCCTGTTCTCTCCAGCTCTATCCCAGGATCGTTTCAGCTGCTGGGTTAAGCCCTGGCTCTATTTCTACAACTAGGAACACTTCTCTCCTTCGCTATTCTTCGTCTGTCCCGTCTTCCCCGCTCATCCCATTGGGATCTTACCTGAACTTGTTCGTTCGTTCATGTACTGTTTCAAGGAACGAGTGGTGCGAGTTTTCTTTGATATTGCGGTGTTGGCTGCTTGTGTAATGGTGTAATGGATGAGATCAAGTTGAGTGTCGAAGAAGAGTACCGTGAAGGATAATGTAGAATATAACTTTGGTGTGTCTGAGTCTAGTATTAGGAATAATATTAGGAGAGAAGTAAGTAATGAAACTGAATGTTTTAGGAATGTAATTAGAAGTCTGGGCAGATCTATAACCCTCTATGATAACATGAATGTTGATAAATACGTTTATTGAGTAGCGTGCAATGTGAACACTGACTGATGTTGTAGTAGCCAAACTTAGTCTTGGTTACAAGTACTTCTGACAGTGTTATGTTGTAGTAGCCAGACTTAGTCTTGGTTACAAGTACTTCTGACAGTGTTATGTTGTAGTAGCCAGACTTAGTCTTGGGTACAAGTACTTCTGACAGTGTTATGTTGTAGTAGCCAGACTCTGTCTTGATTACAAGTACTTCTGACAGTGTTATGATGTAGTAACCAGACTTAGTCTTGATTACAAGTACTTCTGACAGTGTTATGTTGTAGTAGCCAGACTTAGTCTTGGTTACAAGTACTTCTGACAGTGTTATGTTGTAGTAACCAGACTTAGTCTTGGTTACAAAGTTGATAAATAATGCACATATGCAACAGTTAGGTGTCTTTATTCCGAAACGTTTCGCCTACACAGTAGGCTTCTTCAGTCGAGTACAGAAAAGTTTGCAGAACAGTAGTGATGTGAAGACGGTGTCATCAGTCCATCACCCTTGAAGACAAAGTTTTGAGGTGGTCAGTCCCTCAGAAAAGTGTTGTTCTACAGTCTGAAACA